CCCCAAAACCCCAAAACCCCAAAACCCCAAGAGTAAAAGATATTAATAAGATTTTCAGATATTATTAGTAAATAAAATGGTTTATAATTTTTAGAACTTTTAAATAATAATAATATGTTATTTAGTATCCAAATATAAATATCTCCTTGTCTTTGCTATTCCTCAGGTATAAATTCTGAACATTTATGCAATGTCATATTTGTTAGCAAGCCTTTTAGGCGACAAAGTATCCTTTTCCTGCTAAGTTCTTTCAATATCTTCGTGCTCCTAGTCTGCGTAGTTTAAGGAGTCCAGTTCCTACTGTTCCTCTATCTATTCGAGCTCATCTTCTTGATTGTACGATAATTGATTGATTTGTACCATTTAAGGTAAGTACTCTTGATTGTCTGCTAATTTTTCTTCGAATTCCCTAATAGAGTCTTCTATTTTCTCATCTTCTTCCTGATAGTTGGCTATGTCTCCAGTCATCTACTAAAGATCTCTGCTGCCGTTCTTAAAAATCTAACTTGCTCTATGATTGGGAGTTTTGCTTCGCTTTGAACATCTTCTAATCAAGTCTCTTTGAAGTGATTGAGAACCATCCATCATATTTTACCTGCCGTCTGTGTTAGCATTTATGTGATCCTCAAAGAATCTTCTGTTATCAAGCATAGTCTTATTCAGCATGTTTGATGCTTGCAAGTCAAGTCTTGGCTCATCCTCCTAACTTTCGTCAGGATCGAAATTCTCTTCCTGCTCTTAAATAATTTGTATCCTATTACTGGTGTAGTTTGCTGAAAATACCTCACCAAGTCTAGGCACTCCAGAATTGTAAAACTAATATGAACTGATACCCTCATCTCTCGGTATGGACCTTAATCTACTAGTAAAATTCTCATTGTCATCATCTATTGATATGTAATTCTCCTGTTAATCTGCTCCTATTCTACCACTAGCAACTTCGAACTGAGACACTGCATTGTCAGGGTTTTATTAAATCATTGAAAATAATGGATCTTGGTTAATATTCTGATTTTCATCTCCTTCATCGTCGTCTTCATTAATTATCTTGGCAAGAATCTTAGGAACTTTGTTCTTGGTTCGATTACTAGTCTTTTTCGGTGATATTGGTTTATAATACTCTTTAGGGAAGTAGTTTCTATTATCAACTGAAATCAAGTTGTCAAATGGAGATCTTTGGTTGGGCTTAAAGCATGCTGGTAGACAAGAGACTTAGTGTTTTACTTGAATCTGTAGACAAGTCTTGCCTGACTAAAAAACAAGAGAGCCATTTTATTGAGTTGAGGAGTCTAGAAGCATAGGGTATTGTAGCTAGACCAATGTTCCAAATTTACTGTTGAAATCTTCAAGGATATAATCACCTTTCACAGTTTTCTAGATTAGAGCGTGGCATCTACTGACACTAATGTCATCTGTTATTCTCACATCGCTGTCCTGACCTCTTCCAACTTTCAGTTACATTTTATTTTCGGTGTTGATAATATAGAATACCTTCTACCCCTTGTAGGTAAGCGATTCGAGTATGATGAAATTTTTATCTGGCCTTTCTACTTCTACTATATCGATGATTCTATTGTTAAAAGCTATCTGGAAGGGAAACATCTACTTGCAGAGTTCACAATCCAGCTTTTTAAATTTAACTACTACTTAGTTTTTATGAGTCTTCATGGCTTTATTGGTTTCCAGCCAATCCTTCAGGCACTTTAAATGTATATTCCCAATGGATCCTACACATCTACAGGGTGAGATCAGTGGATTAAAGTCCTTATTCATATCCATCTCCTGTTCATCTCCCCAGCATATTCTGCACTAAGCAGCTGAAGAAGTGGATTCATTAAGATTTTCATTTTTTATTTATTTTTATTAATTATTTAGACTCTACCTCTTTTTTAGGGTTTATGATGTTTTTAACGTATTCGGCTGTACCCCAGGATTAATACTAATCTCAAACTAATTGCTGAGCATCTCCTTATCAAATATGTCAATATCATTAGCGTCTATTGAGGCATTATTCGCAAAATTAACCTCATCATTTGTGTGCTAGCGTCTCTAATTCAGAGTTGGATTCGGAAGGTAGAGAGTGTGACTCTGGTTTACCAAATTTTCTGTTGGGTTGATAGAACTTTTACCGTCGTCAGGATAGTCAATGTCTCTTACTCTCAGCCTAACTCTACCAAATTTAACGATGTCATTTTTTTAAAGTTTATATCCCTTATGATATGTTTTAGATTAATATTTCTTGATAACCAGCCATAACTTTTCTTCTGGATTCTGATATATTTAAGAAACGTCCACTTGATTCTTATGATAGATCCAGTAGTTCCCTAAAATATTTAAGTAAGTTATCAAAAATTTTAAGTTCGATTGAATAATCATATTTGATGAATACTGATCATATATGACATTAACAGGTGATATCAGGTATAATAATCAATAATGTCTCCTGACTCTAAAATTGACTCCCACTTACCATTCTTAAAGAGTAATCTCGCAAGCTATTGCTCTCTCTGAGTGTTTTTAGAGTCAGCTGCAATGTGCGGCTCATTTATTGTTTCAATTTCTATTCCGTCATTTAGTATTTGGCTACGGATTAGCTTGCCTATAAGATTATTAATGAGTTAATCGATCTTACATGGACCAGTGACTTTCAACTACTTCTTTTGAATATCTCTCGATTCATAGTCAAAAAGACCGAAAGAGTTCTTATTCCAGGACTTAGTTTGAATCATTAGACTATAACAAGCATGTTAAAACACTTTAAATAGTAGTGGGTACCTTGGAATGTTGGAGGAGGCATCATCTTTGTCAAATCTGTTTATTGAGGAAGATCTCTATGTCGAATTATTACTACTGGGTGTATTTCCCATTTCAAAACTTATTATTTATTTAAAATAATAAAATAAGAAATGAATTAAATGCCTAACTTTGATGAAATCGATAACTTTAAAGTTTTCTAGGATCAGCAAAATGGTGATGTTGACATTCAAAGGTTGATAGATGAGTATGAGTAACAGCCACACAATTAACTTAAACCCAAGAAAAAGTTATTAATTAATGTGAAAATTCCAGCCAATGTCAAGAACGTGAAAAAGGCAATTGATATGCTTGGAGGCTAAGATGAGCTAGTAAAGGTAAGATCAATGTCTTATAAAGTTGAATAGATAATTACTGACATTGAAACTTCTCATAAGCAAAATGTGTTAGATAAGGAAAGAGACCATCAACATCACACTCAGAATATTAAAAACATGCTAAAGTTCTAGCTCACTGAGGACAATAAAATTCATCTTGAGACGAAATTACCAAATTAGTTGATGATAAAAATCACTTAATAAAGAAACAAAAGAACAGGGTGAGTTTATTAAATCAAACTCAAGTATTCAACTCTATTATAGAGAATTAAGATACAGAGTGGATGACGTGAACAAAGTTGACTATGAATTTGAAGCAGAAGCTCTGGCTGATTTTAAATATGGAATGGGCACCTAGTCTAAAACGGTGGCAGAAGATGACCTGATGAATAAGTTTAAGCAGCGTCTATACTCAAAGTTCAATACTTCTGCTTAGATAATTTCTCAATAACAGTTGCAAAATCAGTAATAGACTATCTAAGTTTAGGGCAATAGCTCAGACAGCTGCAACGGCATTAAAAGCAATACAAATGGAAGCACTGCTATTAATGAGTTTGAGTTGACAGCTGAGGAGACACTTAACTTTATTCAGCCACAGTTCTTCACTAGAGGCAGAAACATGTACTCGCAGGTCAAAGATAATCAAATTAATCTAGACTTCCTCACTAGATCTCTTAGTAACGCTAAAAATTGAATTTAGAATCTGACTGTGAGTTAAATGTAAATAAGTGGTAAATAGTGTTTATTAAGTTAAAATACTTTTATTAAACAAACTTTAAAAATAAAAATCAAAAATCAATTAAACCATTATGAATCAGATACTAGCAGTAGCCTTAATGCTGATAGGAATGAGTGAAGCAGCTCATTCTTACTTCTAGAAATGCGACTAGCAGTGCAAACAGTTCTGTCTTGATAAGAGTCTTGGAGATTAATGTGTCTAGAAATGTGGATGCCTGACCTTCTCAAACGGGGCCTAGCTAATGTTTGCTGAACAGTAAGTCTGCTAGCAAGCTTGCCAGGCAAATTGTGGTGATATACTGAACATTTAAGAAAAGCAGCAATGTGGACTGAACTGTCAAGGCAAATGCAATCAAATGTGCACTTATATGTGTGACTTCTATAACCTTGGTTCAGAGTGCCTGAGTAATTGCTAGACCTAAGTTCCTTAACCTAGTTCTGTTATCGAAAGCCAGAGCACTCAAGATGTAATATAATTCACACCTTTAAATAAAATCATATAGATTAAGGAAGATAATGAAATTGTGACTACCCCTACATCATAAAAGGTAAGAATTAATAAATGAACTTAAAGTTTTATTCTTAAATATAGGTATTTGAGATGGAAAAAGATTCTTATTTAGTGTAGGGAATCATATCTCTGCTCATGTTAGCAGGAGTTACAATCATACTCTTCACCTATGGAGCACCCCCTAAATCCTTTAGTGATACCTATCACAGTGTTCATTATAAACTTAACAGCAAGGAAGAAATACCTTATCGTGAAGATTTAATCAGAGAAAGCATAGACTATGAAAAATTGTGAAAGAATTTAAGCAATTGATCATTTGTTTAAACCGAACTAGAATCACTAAATTTTAGAAGATTTGTTTACTTTTAATATTATATTTGATTCCTTAGTTAGAACATATTTCTCTTACGGGGTTTTGGGGTTTTGGGGGGTCTCTCTTAATCCCTTAATTCTCTC